AAAAAGAGAAAGCACAGGCAGAAGTTCAGTAGCTAACTTTAATTTATTCTCCAAAGCCACATAACCCACATTCTCACAACAGCTTTCAATTATACAAACATTATTTGATCCAAATTGGCAACACAATCAATTTATGCAGCTTTCCAGGCAGACAGAGGCGGGGTATCAGATTCTTTCCAAGTGTTCATGCCAGGCGGGTATCGGTCGCCCTTGACAGCCGAGGCAATGCATTCGAGCTCAGAGATGTCGTCGGCTGTGAGTTTCACAGAAAATGCTCCAATGTTTTGGTTGAAGTTTTCGATCCTAGTGGTTCCCGGGATGGGGCAGACATCGTTCCCCTGGTGATGCAGCCATGCCAGGGCTAGCTGTGAAGGGGTGCATCCCTTTTGTTGTGCCAACTTGTTGATCCTCTCATACAACTTCTTGTTCTCCTCAGCATTCTCGCCATGGAACCTTGGCAGATACTGCAAAAATCAAGCGCTTATTACTATGTCAAAAAGTTATAACTTGTATGAAGGCATAAAACTTTATTTTGTTATACACTGTCACGTTTTTAAGAGGCAGGGTGCTGGATTTGACAAACCTGTCTGGTATCGCCTTCTGAGAAGTTCTCGAGCAGCTTTGAACCGGATGACAAGAATCCTCGTCCCAGTGGACTATATGCTACAATTCCAATTCCAAGCTCTCTGAACCAATATGTTAGAATTTTACATTTATAAAACATGAAACTTAATTAGCAGAAGAGATAGATAGATAGGATGGTGCACCTGCAAGTAGGTATAATTTCTTCTTCCACATCTCTTGCCCACAGAGACCACTCTATCTGCACAGCTGTTATAGGATGAACAGCATGTGCTCTTCTGATTGTTGCAGCTGAAGCTTCCGATAGGCCTATGTATTTGATTTTACCTTCTTCGACCAATTTCTTAAGCTCTCCCATCTTCAGAAAAGTTGAAGAAAAGATAAGGAAATGCTTAATAAAGAGACTCAAAAGTAGAGCATTCAAAGCGGACTGACAAGTCAAGCAGTAGTATTTGAAAAAAGAGACCAAGTTTTGAAACTGAACAACATAAGATCTCATACCGTTACTTCAATAGGGACACGAGTATCAACACGGTGCTGATAGTAGAGGTCGATGCAGTCAAGCTCAAGCCTTTTCAAGCTTGCCTCACAAGCAGCTCTTACAAATTCTGGATCCCCACGAATGTCAATGCCCCCTTCCCCAAAAGAGTATGCAAACTTTGTTGCCAATTGTACCTTTTCTCTTACCCCTCCTTTCAAAGCCTACAAAACATACACACATGTATTATTCCATTATTTCAATACCAACATTATGGACATTTATGCTAAAAGCTATAACTAATAACGAAGTCATAACTTTATTTCTTTATACTGTCATACACTTTTGAGACTCAAGATGCTGGACTTGACTTTTTACCAGCCTTCGCCCGACATTTCCTCTATCACATAATGCTGAACTTGCCTTTACCGGCATCCGCACAACAGTTTGGATGGTGATGAAAAAGTGAAACCCATGTATACATACCTTGCCAAGGAGGATTTCATTGGTGTGCGGGCCATACATATCGGAGGTGTCGAGCAAGGTGACGCCGGAATGAATGGCGTGGTGAATGAGTTTGATCATATCTTCATCGGGCTTGGGCGGGCCATAGAAGGAGGACATCCCCATACAGCCCAGACCCTGCGCAGATACTTCCAGGCCCTGCGAACCCAGCTTCATCCTCGGTACATTTGTTGCCATTGTAGTTTAATTAGTATGCAAGCTTCACTTACAGAAACAGTTGTCTTCCCCTTTCTTTGAGCTGTGTGAAGTATAAAAGATGGAGTGATTGTTGGAAGGGGTGCGTTTGGGCAGCGAAATATAAAGATCAAGACCCGCCATGCCAATCCCCAGCGTTGAAAGGCTCCCCGGCCGCGTCAGCCGCCTATCTGGAAGCTAGCCTGGAAAGTTAGAAAGGAATCTAATACAACCCTCCATCATCCAGAAGAAGAAGAAGAAGAAATACTTTCTAATGTGAACAGAATGGAGGGGAAGACCGAAGACCGCCTTTCAAAAAAGATGGTATACACATTGCAATATGCATTATTATATTATTAAAAGGAAATGAATAAAACTACTAAAAAGATGGTGTACATATTGCAATATGCATTATTATATTATTAAAAGAAAATGAATTGAACTACTAAAAAGATGGTGTACAGCAATATGCATTCTTTTTAGAATTCATTTACAATTTTAGTAAATTTTGTATTTATTTTAATAATTAATTTTGTTTTGGACTTTTAGTTAATAGATTATATTAGACCATCACTAGATGAGAACGGTATAAAATTGTATTGAATGAACTATTTAACAATTATACAGACTAGGAAAATATATATGAGGAATTATAGAGAGTCTAGGATAGGGAATAGGAATCATAGGGAAACTAGGATAGAGAGTCATAATGTGACTCAAATACATGGAGTCCTAATACTAGTCCTAATACTCCTCCTCAAGCACATGATATGCTAGTAACATGTAGCTTATCTCTAAGAAAAGAAATATAGGACTAAGGCAAAATTTTTGTGAATATGTCTGCAAGTTGATCTTTTGTTGAGAAAATGAAATTGACTTGAATATCTCCAGTAGCAACTTTATCTCGAACAAAGTGATAATCTATCTCAACGTGCTTGGTACGAGCATGAAAGATGGGATTTGCACACATATAAGTAGCACCAAGATTATCCCACCATAGTTTAGGGACAGAGATACCTGGAACTTTGATCTCACGCAGTAGTGAAACGATCCAAGTTATTTCAGCACAAACATTTGCAAGAGCTTTATGATACGAACCCGTATCAAGCCGGCACCGCTTTGAGTGGGTGCAGACTCCAAAGATGGAATTAGGGGAGGGGAAAAATCAGAGAGAGAGAGGGAGAGATAGAGAGAGAGAGATTTCAGAGAAGGAAGATGAGAGTAGAGAAGGAAAAGATAATAATAATTCGCATGTCTTTCCCCCTAGCATGCAGGGTGATTATATACTAAGTTACTCCTATTATGCTTAGGACTATGATTCCTAATTAATATGATATAATAATGTATTAGGACTAAACTAATGTATCCTATTACGAATAAAATTAGTCTAACAAATGTAATCAACCATCCATGCCGGTTTCCTTCGTTTTCTCCTTGGCATAGTAGCATGGGTTGTTTCTTTTCTTTTTCCCAATTCTTGATTTTTCACCTTCTTCTACTGTGGATATACTCGTATCACTCCCCTTCCCTTCGACGACCACCTTGTCCTCAAGGTGGAGATTCGGGTACCATCGTTCCATTTCCTCGGCAGCTTCCCAAGTGGCGTTTTCTGGACTACTATCTAACCATTGCACTAAGACTTGGCGTTGTATTTTTCCATTTTTTAGAACATTCTGTTCCCCACAGAGTGCTAGTAGAGCTGAAATTGGTGATCGGCCCACAATTTGTTCTGGTAATTGGACCTCTATATTTTCTTCAGTTCCTATGTGTTTCTTGAGTTGTGAGACATGGAATACTGAATGAATTCTTGCTTGTGGTAGTAGCTCGAGGCGGTATGCAACTTCCCATATTTTTTCCAAGATGTTGAATTGACCATAATAGCGTCGTGCTAGTTTAGAGTTTCTACGTGCTATTGATATCTGTCTATATAGTTGTAGACGAAGCCAAACCTTATCTCCTACTGAAAATTTCATTTTGCTTTTTTTTTTGGCATTGGCTTTTTGGGCCATGCGATGCTGAGCTTCCCGAAGATTGTGTTTCAGCGGCCTTATCAATCTGTCACGATCCAACAATAATTCATCTAGTGCTTGCACTGTTGGTGTGTCTTTTGTATACAGTGCTAAGGTGGGTGGTGGTCTTGTATTGCCGCAAAATTCTGCCAATCTCAAGTATGACGTCCAATTGGTTGGTTTGATGTGAGTAAAAGTCCTTAAGTATTGCTCTAATACTCGATTCATTACTTCTGTATGCCCGTCAGTCTGTGGATGGTATAATGTGCTTCTCTTCAGTGTTGTGCCACTTAGTGTGACCTTCAAAGTATGTAACTTTAATTGCTCAGCAATTTTGGGTTGCACAAAGTTGTGGGTGCTGCCACTATCTATTAAAATCTGTAACTTTCGGCCATTAACTTCTCCCAAAAGTTTAAGTGATCTGGGATTAACTAGGCCTGCCAATGAGTTTAGACTGGAAATATCTCATGTGATTATGTCATCTTGCTCATGCACTATGGTTTCTTCTTCTAAGATTGGATCTTCTGTGGTTTGCTGTGTCAATTTTGACAATTTTCCTTGGGAATCCTCAAAACGAGACTCGCCGAACCGCTTTGTGATATTCTGTAAAAATTCCTTCCATGTAGTTAACATTCCATTCCTTTTCATCCATTGATACCACCCAGAAGCAATCCCTTCCATTGTGAATCCTGATATTCGCAATCGCTGTGTGCCGGGTGTATCATAAAAATCAAAATATTCTTGAATTCTAAATATCCAACCATGAGGGTCTGAGCCATCAAAGCGAGGTAACTCAAGTTTCATATGAAATCGTTGAGTCCCTTGGCCACTCTCCGGTTGCAAAGATGGTTGTAGATGATTATCAGGTGGAGGCCCTAAAATTCCATGTGTTTGAGGTTGCACTGCTGCATTTTTATTTGTTGTTACCATCGTTTCCAACCGTGACACGGAGGTAATGAGTTGTTGAATGAGTTGGTGATTTGTAACAGTTTGTCTATCATAATTTTTTTTGAAATTCTGCAATTGCCTGCTCCCAAGGACGAGTTGTTGATGTGGATTGGTTGTCTGACATAATGAAGTAGGATTACAGTTTTGAGTGTGTAAAAGAACAAGAAAGATGAGTTCGATGCAATGAAATCACCAATTGATACGAACCCGTATCAAGCCGGCACCGCTTTGAGTGGGTGCAGACTCCAAAGATGGAATTAGGGGAGGGGAAAAATCAGAGAGAG